GTTCAGGCAGATCCCACACGACCACAGTCGGGGGAACCCTGAGTTCTGGTCACTTTTCCTGAAGAGCGCTGCCGCTCTGTCCGATGGCTCGAAAGTCTAAGGTTGCACACACAAAAGGGGGCCCCCTAGAGCCGAAGGCTGCTAGAACTGCACATGAGACATCACTGACTGCACAAATCCGGTAGGCTGCTGCAGATTCCCAAAAAGAGTTTAGGGTCTAGGGTTTAGGGTTTAGGGTGGGGGGCTTATAGGGATTGGGGTTAGATGTTGTCCTCCTAAGGCTTGTCAACGGGTTTTTGGAGGACAGTTCGGGGGATTAGCGTGCCTGAGGATTTAAGTTAAGGCAGTATTAGGCGAATATTAGAGATTTCGGGCTTGACTGTTTGAAGTTCATGCCCCTGGCGACTTTTCGTGGATGTCAATAGGGCCTTTTCAGGCTTGTAACTCGGTTTCATTGTTGACGTGCTTCACGACTTTGGAGCTTAACCGTGCTAACTCTGTGTGTTAGAGATATACGGCAGTGTCAATATAGTATGTGCTTATGATCCTAAACTACCCATATGCCGACAGATTTGTAAAGAAAAGACAGGGAGCCTTCCATGATTGGCGTGCAGTGGGGGATTGGGGCAGACGGATGTGTCTTTCACGGCGAAGCTGAGTTCCTGAACAGTTGGCGAGTTCGACATAGGACATAAAGTCTGGCGTTCTAGCCTATTCTATTCTCTCAGCCGCAGGCACATAGCCATGTTACAGTTTAGCGACGGGCCTGGGGTGAACATGTAGTTCTGCTACAGGCTAAAGCCCAAACCTTGTGGGAAGCAACAGAAGCACTAGAATACATAGAGAATCATAGAGAGACCCTGAGATCTTGATCCATACTGCCAGGATAGATAGGTAAAGGTAGTTATCTACAAGTACGAAGGTAGGTAGGTTGCTGGGTAGGTAGGGAGGTAGGGCAGGTAGGCAGGTAGATAGATGGTATCATGTCTCGGCGTATCTCTTGGTCGACCAAGTTCTTTTGCAATAACCAGGAACAGTTGCATGCTGAGGAACACCGAGCAAAGCAGTGATGCAGCCGACAAGGAGCATTCGGCCAGTATCTTCAACCCGAGGCTAAGACATAGGGCCCTGAACCTGAACCGTTTGAATATTTTGTAACAGTTCCGAGTGACAAGTTTCCAAACCTGTATCAACGGGCATTAGGATCTTGGGGGTTTCACGTCCTCCAGGGCTGGAGATTTAAGATGCTCCGTCTGGTCAGTAGACACCATATCTCTACCCATAGGCCCCTAAGCAGTTCCTTCTTGGGATTACCTTCTAGGATTCTAAAGATAAACTACGAAAAGGAACTACTTAGGAGCCTATGGGTAAGGGCCATAATGGGTTCAGGGGCCCTTATGATATTCCTGGCTTACAGGCAGGGGATGGATGTTAACGGGGGTCAAGGGCCTGCAAGCGGTTACCAGATCCACCTGCCAGGGTTTAGGGTTTAGGGTTTAGGGTTGTAAGTAGTTCGACTGGGTTAAGGTTAATCTTTATGGCCAAGAGCGCATGACATTCGGGAGTTCGGAAGCATGGCTTCTGACGTTTCTCTTGTCTCCCTAACTTGTTGAACACAGCTGCAGCCAGAAAGCAGGACCGAAGCCACCTCAACCAGAAGCAGAAAAACCTCAAGCCCTGACTTAAACCTAAAGCTCCGAACCTTGGCCCCTGGACCCTAAGCTCTTTGGCCTCATAGGTCCTACTCCCCAAGCTTGAGGCCTAAAAGCCCCCGAGGAGCTCAGCCTCCCGAAGCGGCAATACCCTAAGCCTTTGAATCCCTGGAGCCAACCCTGAAGAGCTTAATAAACCCGAGGACCCCTCAAACCCTCAACCCTAAAACCCTAAAATCTAGGACCCCTAAACCCTGAAGCCCTAAACCCTAGGACCCCTAAACCCCAGGACCCCTAACCCTAAACCCCAGGACCCCTAAACCCTAAACCCTAAAACCCTAAACCCTAACCTCTAATAATATAGGGGGCCTTAGCGAGAAGAATTGGAAGCCTCAAACCCTGCACGCCCTGAGACCTCAACCCCAGGGTTTAGGGGTTTCGAGTTTAGGTTTTAGGGCTTAAGGATTAGGATTTAGGGCTTTAGGGCTTTAGGGGTTTAGGTTTAGATTTTAGGGTCTAGGGGTTCAGGGTTTAGGATTTAGGGTGTAGGGTTTTAGGGCTTTAGGGCTTTAGGGGTTTAGGGTTTAGGTTTTAGGGGTTTGGGGTTTAGGTTGTAAATTGAGATTTTAGGGTTTAGGTTTTGGAGCTTAGGGATTAGGGTTTAGAGTTTTAGGGTTTTGGGTTTTAGGGTTTAGCGGGGGTTTAGGGTTTAGGGTTTCTGCCCTACAATCGGAGTGTGAATGCTTAGCAACGGCATTCCCTCATAGTCCCTTAGCCACACATGACGCCGATGTACACCAAGGCCATGGGTCTACGTTTTTGTTTTATGCCAAGAGAAACAGCGACTAATGTTAATTAGGATCTTAGTGACTAGTATTCTGAGATGGTAGCAGTGTTCTTGAAGGTGAGGCTTGGTGTTCTTGGGTCGTCCATGTAGGTGCCTACTTATAGTCTCCATTGTAGTTCTTGTTTTGGTCTATCCAGTTGTAGTCTTAGGATCCTATAAGGTAGCCCCCAAGAAGGAACTACAGTAAAGACTATAGGTAATGTTCGATCTCGTCTCTGTGTGGCTTTGTGGTCTGGGTGTTAGGATCAAAATCTCAAGCAGCCTTAAGGTGAAGTATAGGGGCTGGAAGTTGGGAAGTACGAGTGATCGTATTTCTCTGGCTTTATTCATCATTACAGTATCCTAAACCCTGGACCCCTAAAGCCCTAAGCCTAAAACCCCTAAAACCCTAAACCCTAAAGCCCTAGAGCCCTAAAGCCCTAGAGCCATAAACCCTAAAACCCTAAACCCTAACACCCTAAAGTCCTAAGCCCTAAACCCTACAACCCTAAACCCTAAACCTAGGACCCTGAACCCTAAAACCGTAGGACCCTACAACCCTAAAACCCTAAGCCCTATAGGACCCTAAACCCTAAACCCCTAAAGCCCTAGGACCCTAAAGCCCTAAACCCCAAAACCCTAAAACCCTAAAGCCCGAAACCCTAAAACCCTGTTCCAGGCATCAGGCGGTTTCAGTAGTGTAGGGTTTAGGGTTCTAGGGTTTTAGGGTTTAGGGCTTTAGGGTTTAAGGGCTCTAGGATTTAGGATTTTAGGGTTTTAGGGTTTTAGGGTTGAGGGTTTAGGGTTTACGGTTGAGGGTTTACGGTTGAGGGTTTGGGGTTAGCAGGGGTCGTAAGCGCCTTCGGGGTCTCGCCTGTGAACTGATTCCCCCCCCCCCCGCCACGCAGCAACAGCTAAAGCAGCTTTGTTGATAGCTTTCCGCCTGCGGGAGTTGTCAGTCGATGGCATTCGCGCAGTCGATCTGGTGAACCGGCAAAGCGGTTCTGAAGAGCGGCCAATCGGTTTTTGGTTGAGATGACGACCCGGACACCAGGCACCGGATCGGCCAGGCCGCGGCCAAGAATCAATGCTACTCCGTGACAACTATGGCCTTACAACTCGATACCTCCTGCGGGACACTCGCGAGATGGGCAGAGAACGAGACGTTGTAGGCTACATCTCCTACACCTGGCGTGGCCTCTGCAAGTGTGGTTTGGGCTTCAGGGCCTCTTAGCGAAGCGTCGAAGCAACCAGCAGCTGTAAACCGGTGTGCAATCCGATCCCGCATCCGTGGCTTGAAATTCTAACCCAAGGCCCTACCCATAGGCCCCTAAGCAGTTCCTTTTGGGGATTACCTTATAGGATTCTAAATATAAACCATAAAAAGAAACTACTTCGGGCCCTATGGGTAAACCCTGCTCTGTTCAGGGTTTTGCAAAGCTTTCTTTCGGGTTTATAGGGT